TTTTTGTAATAATGAAATCTTTTATTGTTTTAGATGTAGTTGTGACAAATTTTATGTTGAGTTTAGATAAATTCTTTTCACATGTATGTGTTGGTGTTAATGGGTAGAATAAAGCAAGTCTGGTATCGCTGACAAAACTAACCTGGCCGATGATGACGTTCGAAGATATTTTTCAAAATTTTCTTCTGTCTATTTAAAAAAAATAACCTATTAAACTCATTCCTGTATTTTTGTTTCCCGAATGATCCTATAGTAGAAAGATTTGCATATTTCTAATTAAGAAAAGTGAAAATCTTCAAAAGTATACACATTTTTATATATTTCTGAATAGAAAAAGCAAATGCTGCTGTAAATTTAATTATCTACATATATCTAATAACAAAAAGATATTTCTGAATAGAAAAAATTGCTACCGTAAACTGAAATATTTACATACATCTAATTAAAAAAGGATCAAATTTCTTAATGTATCTGCATTTTTACTTATTTCTGAATAAAGAATGGAAATTCTTCCGTATATTTAAATATTTGCATATTTCTAATTTAGAAAGACAGAATCTTCTGAAGTTTCTGCATTTTTACATATTTCTTAGAAGAAAATGTTTGCTGCCGTAAATTTAAATATTTACATCCATCTAATAAAAAAAAAGATCAAATTGTTCGGAAAGAAAAAAGAAATCTGCCGTAAATTTTTTTCCATATTTAAAAAATACAAAATGGAAATCCTTTTTACCTGAATACAAAATAAATTTAAGTAAATTTAAGTATTTGCATACATCTAATTAAAAAAGAGAAAATCTTCTGAAGTATCAGCATTTTTACATATTTCGGAATAGAAAAAAGAAATCCTGCCGTAAATTTAAATATTTAGATATTTCTAATTAAAAAAAGACAAAATCTTCTGAAGTATCTGTTTTTTTTACATATTTCTGAATAGAAAAATAATTCTCCCGTAAATTGATATATTTACATATATCTAATTAAAAAATGATCAAATTTCTAAAAAGACAAAATATCTCTAATTTTCACATATTTTTGAATACATATTTCCAATTAAAAAAAAATGCTGACGCATTTTAATTTTAATATTTAAATACTATTTCAAAAATATTAAATTAACATATTTTGAATCAAATCTTGCTGCAATTTTTATATTTACATATTTCTGTTTTCAGAAATTTGATGTTTTTGAATTTTTAAATATTAAATTAAATTTTTTATGAAATGCAGAATTTAATCATTAAAAAAATATCAATTTTCTGAAGTATCTGTTTTTTTTACATATTTCTGAATACAAAATGGAAATCCCGCCGTAAATTTAAACATTTGCACATTTTTAATTAAAAAAAGTGAAAAACTTCTGAAGTATCTGCATTTTTACATATTTCTGAATAGAAAAAATTGCTACCGTAAATTTAGATATTTACATACATCTAATTATAAAATGATCAATTTGTCTGATGTATCTGCAGTTTTACATATATCTGAATAGAAAGAAATTACTACCGTAAATTTAAATATTTATATACATCTAATTATAAAATGATCAATTTGTCTGATGTATCTGCAGTTTTACATATTTCTGAATACAAAATGGAAATCCTGCCGTAAATTTAAATATTTGTGTATTTCTAATTAAAAAAGACAAAATCATCTGAAATATCTGCATTATTACTTAGTTCTAAAGAGAAAAAATTGGCGCCGTAAATTTAAATATTTACATACATCTAATTAAAAAATATGAAATTGTCTGAATTATTTGCATTTTTACATATTTCTGAATAGAAAAAACAAATCTTGCTGCAATTTTATACATTTACATATTTCTATTTTAAAAAAAAGGCAACATTATTTGATGTTTTTGAATTTTTATAATTTTTGAATAGAAAAAGCAAATGCGGCCGTAAATTTGAATATTTCCATATATCTGTTTAAAAAATATCAAATTGTCTTTTGACACTATTTAGCGGTTGCGTGAAAACTAAAAGCGAGAAATACTTAAAGGCGAGAAGATGCTATAACGAAAAGACATACTGAGCGATGTTATTTTTTTTAACAAAGAAAAATGGTAAAGATTTTATTTTCATTGCGAAAAAAAAGTACTATTTTTTCGCAGAAGATAGGAAGTTCGTAAGATCTCGGATCTGTCGGAATTAATTGATGCTACGACGCGACGAATAAAAGATAGGCATCTGCCCATGGCAATAATAAAAATTTCAAATTGGTCAAGTGGCCTACAAAACAGAATTCTGGAAGATAATTGTATTCAGGTCACGTACTGACCGAGAAAGGGGTCGGTTTAGACCACACCCAAGAAAAAGGAAAAATAAGGGAAGGAATAAACCATTAACTATCCTTCGGAGATATCATTTGGTTTTGGGAAAAAAACACCTGTTTTATGTTCAGACTTAGCCATGATAAGAGTTTGTTGTCTGGACACATTGTGGCGACGGAAATACGTAGGTATTGAGGCGACAAAGAGATTCACTTGACCAGCCCCATTTGACGCTTGGCGAAAATCTCGTTGACGAATTGAGATTAGGGACTACATTACGAGTCGTGGGAGATCTACTCGGGGAAAAGAAGGAAAAAGAAAAAAAAAGAAGATAATTTTTTTTTCTCCTTTGAGTGATAATTGTAAACACCCACGCTGCTGAGCGTTCATTGGCTGAATGGTGGCGGAGGCGGTAGGCGAAGGTAAGATTCCATTATGAGAAGGAGGGACGGCCTGTTGACGCCTCTGAGGAAGAATTGTTTTTTTTCCTTGGACTTTGGGAAAATTTTATTGCATGATTTAGAATTGTCGAGGGTAATTTTCGTCCATAAAACGAATGTCCCCAGAGCAGTTATAACAGAGTTACATGTTCTTGGTTATTTCGCAGGAAGGTGACTGAAGATCCCACGCAATTTTTTATACACTTTTTTCCCCTTTGGTATTGGTTTGATTATTTGCAAATTTCAAGACACCGAAGGTTTTATCCGAACTTGCAGTACAGTTTTTTATAATGATATTTCTTTTATTCATTTTTTGGTCATACTACTACTACTAGGTTACTACAGTTTACTACTACTAAGATTACTACTACTACTACTATATATATATATATATATATATATATATATATATATATATAAGCTATATTGATGCGTAAGTCGTCTTTACGAATGAAAAAATGTATATCTGTGTGTGCAATGCCGGTTCATTCTCATTACAATTCAGTAGATTCCTTCATATTTAAATAACTATTAAAAAATCTAATTAATAACCGCTTGATAATTCACTTATGAGTTTTATATATTTTAATTTGGGCCTCACTCTATGTGTATATTCGTATGTGTGTGCCAATCAATTGCCTTCATGGTTTCAGTAAAGATGGACATTGACGTTGTCTGATCTTCTTTTTTTTTTGAATACAAATTAGCAAGTGAAATTATTGATAATTGAAAAATCGATTTTCGAATTATTTAAATGAATTTTTTTGTTAAACTTATTATGGGAAAACGAATAAAAAATTTTATTATCGACTTTTTTAAATTTAAAGTGAAATTATAGTATTTATTAAATATTTAACCAAAAAGTATTTATTAAAATAATTACTTGAGTTCTTCATTCGGAGTTTATCTAATACTGATTTTTTTCTCATTAATACTAATGTCATAATATGTTTAGCACTTTAAAAAAACTAAATTTTATCTGTAAGAAATTTCAACGTAATAAATTATTATTTTAATAACATTTCTTTATTAGAATTACCTTTATTTACAGTTTATATATTTTTTAAGATGAATGGAATGAATTCAAATATTACTAATTTTTACAACTTGGTGAGGGTGTCTGAAATGACAACGCAGTTTGGTGAATTCTCTCTTTCTAAAATGGCCGACACTATACTTCCGGGTTTGAGCAGTGCTTCGTTTTCCTTCGTTACAGATTACATTTCTTAGTTTTCTCTTCGAAGTTTTCACATGCTGCTTTTTTCTAACACTGCTTTTAAAATGTTGCGATCCATTGATTTTAAGATGTCGTATGTATTTGTTTTATAATTGATTCCATACTTTTTTCAATAAAAGCTTTTTTCATTTCTTTATTTCTTTATTTACTCTTCTTGCGTGTGCATTCTCAATTAATTCTCATTAAAATTCCATATATTTATTCTTGTTTAAATAAGTATGAAGAAAAAAATAAATGAAAAGTTCCCATGTTAAGCTTCGGGCGCTGCATCGCTTTTCTGTGGTGTCTAGCTATATGCCCATGTGAGGTTGCTTGGGCTCGTTTTGAACCTTACTTATGACTGCTACCTTGCGTTTTTGAAAACGGGTTCTGGCGGTGTTCTACTTGTACCTTTCGTCTATCTCTTTAGGTTACACGACGCTGCGTAGTCAATGCTGAGGGTACTTTCAAAGTATCTGTCTGAGTTCCACGTTTGGTCTGTCTCTGTAAGTTTTTGATTTTCGTCAGGGAAAAATATATTATATAGACAAGTTAAATACACACGTTCCCACATCCCAAAGGCAAAAGTTCGATATTAGGGTCATTAATATTTTTTTTAGATCGTCTTACGTGATTTTTCTATAAAATCGTTTTTATGATATCTTTTCTTCAATCGTCAGGGTATACAGTAAATTAGTAAATGACGAATCACACGTTTCTCCTCCTGGATTCCTCCATATGCATAGTCATCTCGTTTTTTCTTGGAACCATTTGTTGGCTATTACCTGGTCATTGGCTGCGCACGACTGGATCTATTTTTCTTCGCGTTCGTTGCGGGTCCCTTGCCTTTTCACTGCCTACTTTGGCGTTTAGGTCCCCTATGATAATGATGATGACTTCCGGTGATTTGCATAGAGCTTTGGCTCTGTCCAGCATGGATTAGAAAGATTCAATGTCTTCTTCCTTGATTTGTGCAGTCGGTGTGTACATTGCTATAATATATATATGACTGAAATAGATTTATAGATAGATGTGAAGAAGCTGAACCAGATATATAAATGCATAGATGTCAAGAGACAAGAAGTAGATAGATAGATAGATAGATAGATAGATAGATAGATAGATAGATAGATGACTGTAATAGATATATGGATAGATGTGTAGAGAGAGATACATAAATATATGTGAAAAACAAGAAGTAGATAGATAGATAGATAGATAGATAGATAGATAGATAGATAGATAGATAGATAGATAGATGAAACCAAAGTGTAAGGTGAATGGGCAGAATTAGAAAGATCTTAATGGAATGGCGCAAGAATAGAGAGAGAAGGTGGGAGATAGAGAGAGGAGCTATTGACAGAGAGAGAAAGAGAGAGTGACATACAGAAATAAAAATGGGAGTGTATGATATGGAAAGAGATAAGATAGAGATTTCGAGAGATGGAGTGATGTGGACAACTTAAAAATAGAGAGAATGAGAAAGAGAGAGTCGAAGACTGAGAGATAGCGAATGGAAGCGATAGAAACAAACTGATAAAAACGAGGAATACGTGGAAAACAAAAAAAACATAGATAGGTAGATAGATAGATAGAGAGAGAGAGAGAGAGAGAGCGAGAGAGAGAGAGAGCGAGAGAGAGAGAGAGAGACAGACAGACAGAGACAGAGATAGATAGAGAGATATCCAGACTGACATACTAGGTTAACACAGAAACTAAACAAAGTGACAGTATGAAATATGTATCAAGAATTCGATACGACACTCATATGATTTATTATTTTAATAAGATATTCTTTTTATTTCGGGATAGATAGACAGATAGATAGATAGATAGATAGATAGATAGATAGATAGATAGATGTAACCAGAGTTTCAGAGATGTCGACAAATTAAAAGATGTATTAAAAAAGAAAGATGTAAACCTAGGGGGAGAAAAAGAGCGGGGATTCCTCGTCTGAGAGATAAGCTTGGTTGACATGGAAACAGACAATTATGAAGATAGATAGATAGATAGATAGATAGACAGAGAGACAGACAGACAGATGGACATGCTCGGTTAACAGGGAAATTAACACAAACCAACAAAGTGAAATTAACGAATAAGTATCAATAATTCGATACGACAGTCACATGAATTATTATTCGAAAAAAACATTCTTTCTATTCTGGCATAGATAGATAGATAGATAGATAGATAGATAGACAGACAGATAGATAGATAGATAGAGTTAGAGATAGAGTGTGTGTGTGTGGGAGAGTGATAAGAATGGAATGAAATAGATAGACAGATATACATATAGACAGACATGCTCGGTTAACAGGGAAACTAACACAAACAAACAAAAAAGTGAAAGTGTCGAATATATATCAATAGTTCGATATGACAGAGTCATATGATTAATTTTTTTAAAAACAGGTTCCTTTTTGCGACAGCAAATAGGCGTGATAGGAGAAAGAATGAGAAAGATAGTGGATAGATCAAGGTAACTGGTGATATCGATTGACATTACGTTTAAATAGTTGGGGATTATAGATCTCAGGGAAACGGTAATAGAGAAGGGTGTTCCACAGGCGAGAGGTGCGAGGTATGAAGCTATTGGTTGCTACATTTAAAAAAGTTTCTACAGTGAAAGGGTGAGAGCGGGATGCCAGCCTCGTAGGGCGCTTGAATTCATGAAGTCTGGGAACCAGTGAAAGCAGCTCATCGGAACAATTACCATGAAAGTATTTGTAAAAAAGACAGAGAGAGGCGACGGCGCGTCTGTGAGAGAGGAACTGTAGACGAGATGCCAGATCAGGGCCAATTATATTATATATCCGTCTCTGGATCTTGTCAAGAACTCCGAGGTAAACAGATGGTGCACCAGACCATATATGGCAACAATACTCCATGCAAGGCGAATAGTTGATTTCTATATTTGAAGTAACGAGAAAAATTAGAGAAAAATTCCTGGCGCGGCACAAAGAACCAACTTTCCTCGCGGTGGACGAAGCAATTGACTCAATGTATTTGTTCCATCTCATGTTAGCAGACAACGTGAGATCGATCAGACGCAGAGAGTTGTTCTCAAGAAGTTATTCTAATGGGAGGGGGGGAAGGATCTCTATGGTGATTAATAGAGAGTAGTTTAGTTTTTGCGGCGTTAAAGTTGACCAGCCAATTCTTGCCCCAATTAACAACCGATTTGAGGTCCGTTTCAAGACGAGCGGTCGGTTAGTTTTGTCTCCGACACTAGATTTGTTTTTGAGGCTGGACTAAATTGTAGTGTCGTTCGCGTAGATGCCAACTTGGGAATCTATGGCGTCAGGAAGGTCGTTGATAAAAATAAGGAATAGAGTGGGACCAAGGATGGAGCCTTGGGGAACACCTGCGTTCGTAGGATAGGAACTGGAGGAGAATCCGTTGAGAACGACCTTCAATTCACGGTTTGACAGGAATGATTGTATTAGGTCAAACAATCTACCTGTAATACCATAACCCTGGAGATTACGAAGAAGGCCGGCATGCCAAACCCTAAAACCCTGGAAAAGTGAAAAACATAGATAGATAGATAGATAGAGAGATAGAGAGAGAGAGAGAGAGAGATACGGACTGACATACTATGTTAACAGGGAAACTAAACAAAGTGATAGTATCAAATATGTATGAATAATTCAATACAAAAGAGTCATATGACTTATTATTCTAAAAAGATATTCTTTCTATTTTGGCATAGATAGATAGATAGATAGATAGATAGATAGATAGATAGATAGATAGATAGATGTAACCAGAGTTTCAGAGATGTCGACAAATTAAAAGATGTATTAAAAAAGAAAGTAAACCTAGGGGGAGAAAAAGAGCGGGGATTCCTCGTCTGAGAGATAAGCTTGGCTGACATGGAAACAGACAATTATGAAGATAGATAGATAGATAGATAGATAGATAGATAGACAGACAGACAGACGGACATGCTCGGTTAACAGGGAAATTAACACAAACCAACAAAGTGAAAGTAACGAATAAGTATCAATAATTCGATACGTCAGTCATATGAATTATTATTCTAAAAAAATATACTTTCTATTCTGGCCTAGATAGACAGATAGATAGATAGATAGATAGATAGATAGATAGATAGATAGATAGATAAAGAGAGATAGAGAATGTGTGTGGGAGAGTGATGAGAATGGAATGATATAGACAGACAGACTGACATGCTCGGTTAACAGGGTAACTAACACAAACAAACAAAAAAGTGAAAGTGTCGAATATGTATCAATAGTTCGATATTACAGTCATATGATTAATTCTTCTAAAAACTTTCAATTTATTGCTGAAAACATTATTTGATCCGAAGGAACATACTACACAGCATCCAATCATTCAAAGATTATCCATTATAACTGACCCTAAACAAAATATTGTAACGAAGAGTTTATGTTTCATTTGAGACGTTTGGACAAGTTTTTGGAAGATTTTGCATTTTTACATATTCCTGAATAGAAAAAAATTGCTGCCGTAAATTTAAATATTTACATACATCTAATTAAAAAAACATCAAATTGACTGAAGAATCTGCATTTTTACATATTTCTGAATAGAAAAAATTGTTACCGTAAATTTAAATATTTACATACATCTAATTAAAAAAATATCAAATTGTCTGAAGTATCTGTATTTTTACATATTTCTGAATACAAAAAGGAAATTCTGCTGTCAATTTTAATATTTGCATAATTCTAATTGAAAAAAGAGAAAATCTTCTGAAGTATCTGTATTTTTACATATTTCTGAATACCAAATGGAAATCCTGCCGTAAATTTAAATATTTGCATATTTCTAATTAAAAAAGACAAAATCTTCTGAAGTATCTGCATTTTAACATATTTCTGAATAGAAAAAAATTGCTGCCATAGATTTGAATATTTACATCCATCTAATTAAAAAAAGATCAAATTGTCTCAAGTATCTGCATTTTTACATATTTCTTAATAGAAATTAATTGCTTCCGTATATTTAGATATTTACATAAATCTAATTGAAAAAAGTTGTCTGAAGTATATTTATTTTTATATATTTCTGAATACAAAATGGAAAGTTTGCCCTAAATTCTAATATTTGCATATTTCTAATTTACATATCTCTAATTAAACAAAGATCAAATTATCTGAATATCTGCATTTTTACATATCTCTGAATAGATCACATTTTCTGAAGTAAATATTATGAATTAAATATTAAGAAAAGAGAAATATCTGAGTTTTCACTTCGATGTTTTTCACATACTTTGTTTTTTCTAATCCTTCTTTTTAAAATGTTTTGTTCCATCGATTTTACGATCTCGTAAGTATATGTTCCATAATTGATTTCATTCATTTTCAATAAACGCTCTTTTTTAATTTCTTTTTAAACTTCTGACAAGTTCATTTCATGCTAATTCTGAAAGGTGGCTTCAAACTTCTGTACTGCATTATATATATATATATATATTTTAAGCATTTCACCCCGAGGAAGGCGGGAGGCCACTAGGATGCAGAGGGTTGCAGAAGATTTGGAGCGAGAGCAGATAGGAGTGATAGAAGAAAGGATAAGGAGAGGGATAGTGGGTATATCAAGGTAACGGGAGATATCGATTGACATTACATTTGAATAGTTGGAGATTATAGCTCTCAGGGAAACAGGGAAGGGTGTTCCACAAGCGAGAGGTGCGAGATATGAAGGCATTGCAGTAGAAGAGACGGCTACATTTAAAAGTTTCTACAGTGAAAGGGTGAGAGCGGGATGCCAGCCTCGTAGGACGCTTGAATTCATGAAGTCTGGGAACCAGTGAAAGCAGCTCATCTGTAATACCATAACCCTGGAGCTTGCGAAGAAGGCCGACATGCCAAAACCTATCAAACGCTTTGGAGATGTCTAGGGCCAAGGCACGAACCTCACCATTATTTTGAAGGGCTTGGTAGTCGGTTTCAGTGATGGCCGTAAGCGCCTCAGTTGTAGATCGGGCGTAGCGGAAACCATATTGCTTTTCTGAGAGCAGGTCATGTGAGGTAAGGTGGTTGACCATTTCGGCGTTGATTAGGGCTTCGAAGACTTTGCCGAAGAGGGGCAGGAGATTAATAGGACGGTAATTAGAGGGGTCAGAGGGGTCTCCAGAGTTCTTAAAGACAGGAACAATGGATGAGGACTTCCAGCAGTCAGGAAAACAGGATTCCTTGAGGGAGTAGTTATATAGTTTAGAGAGGGCGGGTGCTAGCTCAGGTGCGCATTTCTTCAAGACAATGGCTGGTATGCCATCTCCACCACTAGCCTTGTGGGGGTCTAAATTGGAGATAATGCCCAATACCAATGACGGGGTTATGTGTCGCCCGATCAATAGGGCCTCAGTTCTTAGAGGGAAGTCGAGTATGGGTAAACCGGAGGAGTCGAGCCTTGAATTTAATGAGAATTTCCGAGCAAAGCATTCAGCCTTGTCGGTAGAGGAAGTCAGGACCTCGAACTGGTTGAACAAAGAGGTATGGAGGGATTTCTATTGTTCAGAACGCACTTGCAGAGCCGCCAATAATCTTTGGAGCCAAATTTGCGAGATGCAATACGCTCCTTCATCCAAGCAGCAAATAGTGACTTAGCTTCATTGAGGACACGCTTACACTCGTTACGGGCGGAGGCAAAGAGACGTCTATTGCAGTCCGACATGTCGCTACGAAATAGGAGTGGTTCCTATGGGCAATGGCGGCTGAGCAAGCAGCGGAGAATCAAGGGGAGGAGTGGGACTTGGCCTTAAATTTCCTTGAGGGGATGAAAGCGTCAATTCCAGATTTAACCCAGGATGAGACCTCAGAAGCACATTCTTGGACAGGAGTGTAAAGACAACATCCCAGGGGACATCGCGGATGAAGTCACGGAACGAGTCCCAATCCGCTCGTTGATAGTAGAACAGGATTCTAGTGATAGGAGGTTCTTTGCGGGGGAGTGGAGTTTAAGGAAACTACTACTGCTACTATTACTACTACTAATAATAATAATGTTAATATATATATATATATATATATATATATAAAGCTATATTGAAGCTACTACTACTACTATATATATATATATATATATATATATATATATATATATATATATATATATATATATAAGCTATATTGAAGCGTAAGTCGTCTTTACGAATGAAAAAATGTATATCTGTGTGTGCAATGCCGGTTCATTTTTATTACAATTTAGTAGATTCCTTCATATTTAAATAACTATTAAAAAATCTAATTAATAACCGCTTGATAATTCACTTATGAGTTTTATATATTTTAATTTGGGCCTCACTCTATGTGTATATTCGTAAGTGTGTGCCAATCAATTGCCTTCATGGTTTCAGTAAAGATGGACATTGACGTTGTCTGATCTTTGTTTTTTTTGAGAATACAAATTACTTATTATTCGACGTATTTAAATTGACGCACAAGCCAAGTGAAATTATTGATAATTGAAAAACTCGGTTTTCCACACTTGTCTAAATCTGTTTTTAACTTTTATCCACTTTTATACTTCGACACACGGGATCACGAATACAGTTTAAAAATTAATACGCCATTTGTCGACACTTTTCTCACCGAATGTAAGTGAATTTCTTCTAGCTTCATCCATTATTAAAGAAAACGAAAAAATGTTATTAAATTTTAAATTTAACCCAATTATAGTAAATATTATTTATTAGATATTAAAGAAAAAGAAATAATTACTTGAGTTTTTCATTCGGAGTTTATCTAATACTGATTTTTTCTCATTAATACTAATGTCATAATATTTTTAGCACTGTAACTTTAGTAACTTAAAAAAAAAAAAACTAAATTTAATGTGTAACGAATTTCACCGTAATAAATTATTATTTTAATAACATTTCTTTATTAGAATTATATTTATTTACAGTTTATATATTTTTTAAGATGAATGGAATGAATTCAAATATTACTAATTTTTACAACTTGGTGAGGGTGTCTGAAATGACAACGCAGTTTGGTGAATTCTCTCTTTCTAAAATGGCCGACACTATACTTCCGGGTTTGAGCAGTGCTTCGTTTTCCTTCGTTACAGATTACATTTCTTAGTTTTCTCTTCGAAGTTTTCACATGCTGCTTTTTTCTAACACTGCTTTTGAAAGGTTGCGATCCATTAATTTTAAGATGTCGTATGTATTTGTTTTATAATTGATTCCATACTTTTTTTCAATAAAAGCTTTTTTCATTTCTTTATTTACTCTTCTGTTAAGTTCATCTCATATTAATTCCGAGATGGCTTCAAATTTATTTAACTAAATTTTATATATCTATATATAAAAAACTATATTAAATTAAGGTCGTCTTTACGAATGAAAAAAAAATGATATTTGTGTGTGCATTCCCAATTAATTCTCATTAAAATTCCATATATTTATTCTTGTTTAAAGAAGTATGAAGAAAAAATAAATAAAAAGTTCCCACATTAAGTTTCGAGTCCTGCATCGCTTTTCTGTGGTATCTAGGTATATGCCCGTATGAGGTTGTTTGGGCTCGTTTTCAACCTTATTTCTGATTGCTTCCTTACGTTTTTTGAAAAAGGGTTCTGACGGTGTTCTACTTGTACCTTTCGTCGATCTCTGTAGGTTACACGACACTGCGTAGTCGATTCTGAGGGTACTTTCAAAGTATCTGTCTGAGTTCCACGTTTGGTCTGTCTCTGTAAGTTTTTGATTTTCGTCAGGGAAAAATATATTATATAGACAAGTATATAAGTAAAATACACACGTTCCCACATTCCAAAGGCAAAAGTTCGACATTAGGGTCATTAATATTTTTTTTAGATCGTCTTAAGTGATTTTTCTATAAAATCGTTTTTATGATATCTTTTCTTCAATCGTCAGGGTATACAGGAAATTAGTAAATGACGAATCACACGTTTCTCCTCCTGGGTTCCTCCATATCCATAGTCATCTCGTTTTTTCTTGGAACCATTTGTTGGCTATTACCTGGTCATTGGCTGCGCACGACTGGATCTATTTTTCTTCGCGTTCGTTGCGGATCCCTTGCCTTTTCACTGCCTACTTTGGCGCTTAGGTCCCCCATGATAATGATGATGACTTCCGGTGATTTGCATAGAGCTTTGGCACTGTCCAGCATGGAGTAGTAAGATTCAATGTCTTCTTACTTGATTTGTGCAGTCGGTGTGTACATTGCTATAATATATATATGACTGAAATAGATTTATAGATAGATGTGAAGAAGCTGAACCAGATATATAAATGCATAGATGTCAAGAGACAAGAAGTAGATAGATAGATAGATAGATATGAACAGAATTAGATAGATAGATAGATAGATAGATAGATGACTGTAATAGATATATGGATAGATGTGTAGAGAGAGATACATAAATAGATGTGAAAAACAAGAAGTAGATAGATAGATAGATAGATAGATAAAACCAAAGTGTAAGGTGAATGGGCAGAATTAGAAAGATCTTAATGAAACTGCGCAAGAATAGATAGAGAGAATGTAGGAGAGAGAGAGAGAGAGAGGAGCTACTGACAGAGAGAGAGAGAGAGAGAGAGAGAGAGAGTGACATACAGAAATACAAATGGGAGTGTATGATATGGAAAGAGATAAGATAGATATTTCGAGAGATGGAGGGATGTGGACAACTTAAAAATAGAGAGAATGAGAGAGAGAGTCAGAGACTGAGAGATAGCGAGTGGAAGAGATAGAAACAAACTGTGATAAAAACGAGGAATATGTGGAAAAGAGAAAAACAAAGATAGATAGATAGATAGATAGATAGATAGATAGAGAGAGAGAGAGAGAGAGAGAGAGACAGACAGACAGACAGACAGAAACATAGATAGATAGATAGATACAGAGAGAGAGACAGACAGACAGAAACAGAGATAGATAGATAGATAGATAGAGAGAGAGAGAGAGAGAGAGAGAGAGATAGAGACAGACAGAAACAGAGATAGATAGATAGATAGATAGATAGATAGATAGAGATACAGACTGACATACTAGGTTAACAGGGAAACTAAACAAAGTGATAGTATCAAATATGTATCAATAATTCGATACAAAAGAGTCATATGACTTATTATACTAAAAAGATATTCTTTCTATTCTGGCATAGATAGATAGATAGATAGATAGATAGATAGATAGATAGATAGATAGATAGAGTGTGTGGGGAAGTGATAAGAATAGAATAACAGGGAAACTAACACAAACAAAAAAGTGAAAGTATCGAATATGTATTAACAGTTCGATATGATGGAGTCCTATGACTTATTATTCTAAAAACATATACTTTCACTTTCATTTTGTTGCTGAAAACATTATTTGATGCGAAGGATCCTACTACACAGCATCCAATCATTCAAAGATTATCTATTATAAATGACCCTAAACAAAATATTGTAACGAAGAGTTTATGTTTCATCTGAAACATTTGAACAAGATTGTTTGCTTCGTTTTATAACTTCTGTTGATCACTTTTTTTCCTCTTATGGAAAAAAATGAAAAGGATTACCTCTAATTAACCAGAAACACCAACAGTTTTCCCCGGATTGATACGGCTTAAGGATTTACAAAGAAGGCAAAGAAGGATCGGTGCTAGGGTTTCGGCACGCATCCGAAAATTTTTATACCCCACAATATTTACTACATGTCGATTTCAAAATTAACCTATCTGGAAGCCATAAACCGTTGATTGTCAAAAATAAGGCAAGATATTTTTCTCGCTTTGTTTAAGAAAAAAAAAAAAAGGTAAGAAAACTAAGTGAATGACAGAGAGAGAGAATGAGAAAGAGAGTGACATACTGAAGAATGAGAGTGTAGGATTTGAAAAGAGATAAGATAAATATTTCCAGAGTTTCAAAGTTATCGACAATTTAAAAATAGAGAGAGTGAGAAAGAGAGATAAAGACTGAGAAACAACGAATGGAAGAGAGAGAAACGGACTGAGATAAGAACGAGGAATATGTGGAAAGAAAAAAAAATCATAGATCGATAGATAGATGTGTAGAGAGAGGTACATAAATAGATGTGAAAAACAAGAAGTAGATAGATAGATTGATAGATAGCTAGATAGATAGATATTTATATAGATAGATAGCTAGATCGTTAGTTAGTTAGATAGATAGATAGATAGATAGATATACAGATAAAGCCAAAGTGTAAGAGAATAAGATACTACACAACATCCAATTATTCAAAGAATATCCATTATAAATGACCCTAAACAAAATATTGTAACAAAGAGTTTATATTTCATTTGAAACGTTTCGACAAGATTGTTTTCTTCGTTTTATAACGTCTGTTGATCACTTTTTTTCCTCTTATGGAAAAATGAAATGGATTACCTCTAATTAATCAGGAACACCAACAGTTTTCCCCGGATTGATACGGCTTAGGGATTTACAATGAAGGCAAAGAAGGATCGGTGCTAGTGTTTCGGCACTCACACTAAAAAATTATATACGCCCCTCTACACTTCATGTAGATTTCAAAATCTGGAAGCCATAAAACCTCGAAGGTTGGGGGTAAGACGCGTCCGCCCAGAAGGCAAGATATTTTTCTCGCTTTGTTTAAGAAAAAAAAAAAAATTTAAGAAAAGTAAGTGAATGACAAAGTGTAGGGAGAAAATTTGAAGGACTTACCAAAAGCAGAAGCGAAACAATGTTTGCAAAAGTTACCCAGTCTCGTTCAATCTTATTATCATTTTATGGCGAAGGGATTGGTAAATGTACCATGATTCGTTACTGTGAATAGGGTAAGTTCCTTTTTTACAGAATTGTTCATCCTGTACTTAGGCCTGAATCTACTCGAGGGAGAAGGTTACAAAGTAAGAGTTTCGGCTTATGCCGATATGTGAGAAATTTAACGGTTAACCCTAGACTTGAACAGGTTAAGATTGTAGTCATCTGGGAAGCATCCTCTTGTCAGTCGGTTCCACAAAGCAACAGTTTGTAGGAAGACTTTTACGCGCAACTTACATCTTATCAGGCAATACGAACGGTATAAGGTTACTTCACATAGATATTGATAGATAGATACATAGATCGATAGATGTCACCAGATTTTAAGAGATATTACCAATTTCAGATAGCTATAAAACGAGTGGCGTAAAAATATATATATATATATATATATATATATATATATATATATATATATATAGAGAGAGAGAGAGAGAGAGAGAGAGTGACATACTGAGAAAATGAGATTTGAAAAGAGATAAGATAAATATTTCCAGAGTTTCAAGGATATCGACAATTTAAAAATAGAGAGAGTGAGAAAGAGAGATAAAGACTGAGAAACAACGAATGGAAGAGAGAGAAACGGACTGAGATATGAACGAGGACTAGGTGGAAAGAGAAAATCATAGATAGATAGATAGATAGATAGATAGATAGATGTGTAGAGAGAGATACATAAATAGATGTGAAAAAAAGGAAGTAGATAGATAGATAGATCGATAGATAGATTGATAGATAGATAGATAAAACGAAAGTGTAAGAGAATAAGATACTACACAGCAAACCATCGTGCAAATATTATCCATTATAAATGACTGTAAACAGAATATTGTAACGAAGAGTTTATGTTTCCATTGAAACGTTTGAATAAGATTTCTTTATCCGGCCGCGACAGAAGAAAGAGAAAAATTATATACGCCTCTCTACACTCTACTTCATGTCGATTTCAAAATTTCCCAATTTGAAAGCCATAAACCCTCGAAGGTTGGGGGTAAGACGCGTCTGGCCAGAAGGCAAGATACTTTCTCTTTTTATTCTAAATGTAAGAAAAAAAAAATGGACGATAATGTGTCCGAACAAACTTTAAAGGCCTTACCAAAAGCAGCAGAGAATAAAAGGTCGCAAAAGTTACTCATCCTTTGAGGTTACTATCATTTTATAGCGAATGGATTGGTGAATATACCATGAGTCGTTACTGTGGATAGGGTAAGTACCTTTTTACAGAGTTGCAATGACTGAGAGAAAGGTTTTTTTTTCTAAAAGTCGAATCTAAGCTGTTGTAAAATGTAAACGTGTTTCTTTCGTGACTGCTGCGTCTCCCAGTGTTAATACACTGTCTAGTTAGAAGATATATGTGTTTAATAAAACAGTTGAATTCAAAATTGATTTCTTTCACCTCCGGACACAAGAACATTTCACTAACCGGCCGCAACAGAAGATATAACATTGTATTAATTGGCCCAATGACCAGAAGTCCCCCACGAGGGGTATATACAACACCACCACACATGCTCATTTAATTTTATGGAATTTCGAGAAATTCTTTTTTTGCATCATTAAATGTTTATATTTGTTGTACGGATAATTCCTTGCAGGATTTAAATCATCAAACAGTTTTGATAAAACCCGAAGCACAATAATAAATAATCTGCTCTGAATTGTACAAATAAAAACATATACAATAAAATTAATACATTTTTTTTATTTTAATTTAAAAATATTACTAACCAATTATTTTCTTTATAAGTGTCAGTCATACCCAGCTGGTTGATCAGGGAAAGCGTTCAATTAGAATGGAGTAAAAGCAGCATCATGTTTAGACGTAACAGAGTCTATCTTCTTCCATTACTTTAAAGTACTTTCATTAAAAAAACATTTTGAATTAATGCAGTTACTGATATAAGAGAAGTCGTCTGTATTTAATCAATCGAAATTAACCGAGGACATGAAAGACTAAAACAGGCAACATAAAGACCCACTTCAGACCACAATTCTTTTGGAGTTTTTGAAATTCATTTTGTTAGTGTGCTACCAGGGATGTAAAAGAGGATACATTTTTAAAGCAGTTGTTAAGTTTGCTGAAAATTGATTGAGAGCTCAAAGAAAAATAAGAAAGAAACCAGTAAAAATCGCCATTTTTCGCCATTTAAGTGGGTCTTCACAATATGAATCAACTCAATTATTAAGTTAAATGACAGTTAAACAATCAACTTATTGTTGGCTACAATTGAGTGAATATTGTATTGGATTGCCTGAAAATTGAGGGAACTTTTAGTTTAAAATTTGTGTTGAAATCGATTTTTCGTTTTTCGCTGAACACAGTGGCGTAGAAATAAAAAAAAATAGGTACTGTTGAGCTCGTCATGATGTAAGTAACGTACATACCGAGTTTGAACGAAATCGAAGGGGGAAAATTATCGAGGTTAAATTTATCAATATTTAATAGGTTTTATTGATTTAAAAAGAAATATCGATTTTTTATGCTAAGAATATATCTCTTGCTATCTATGTTCTAAGTTGGGTCAAAAGTGGTTGGATGGATCTCCATTGAAAATGTACAGAGACAGATAGACATCGAAATTTAATTGAACATATAAATTAGAAAGCGTTCGATGAATTGAAAGACGATGTCAAGTGGAATGTCAAAACGTAGTATGGTTTGATCGCTGACACGTAAGACCTGAAATCTAACAACGTCATAATATACCAGGATAATTAAAAGTACTATTGCAAAACAGATTAACAGACAAATGATATAAAACCACAGTGCCATTCTGTTGATGTATGGTCTCTGTTTTCTGGGTACGTTTCAACTCAATGTGTCTCGCCCTTTGGGGTGTGATGACGCCGTTAGTTTGTGTCTGGAAATAAAAAAAAGAAAGAAACAGAATATCATAGAATTAAAACTTAAAGTCGAAACGCCACGAATATGGCAATAAAGATGAGGACAACTGTTCGAACGTTATAAATAGTATAAGTAAAAATTTAAAGAAATGAAAATCTGTCTATATCTCTAATATGAGGTACTATGATTATTTACATTATTTACGTTATTCGAACTGTTATCCTCATCTTTAATGCCATATTCACAACGTGAAAGTATCAATAAAGTCTACCAAGCATAGAAATGAATACAAAATGGGAATCACTAATAAGGAGTACGAGAGAAAAGCAATGAAGAGTTACACAAAATTGCAATATAAGCTATGGTAAAAAAATGTAATAATAATAATAACGAAATATTGAAATATGAGCACTAGTAAAAAACGATGCAGGACATTAGGTTTATAAGTCCCAGAAATTTATACACATGGCCCAGTGGATAAAGGCATTGGTGACTAGACCCAAAGAGTTGTGAGATCAATACCAGGCTAAAGCAGTGGTGAGAGGCTACAGCTACTGCAGTGGTGAGCCAACAAAAAAAAAAAAAAAAATGGAGGATTTGCCTTAAAGGGAGATAACTGAGACATCCGTAAGAGGCGTGCCAACTATAATTAGAACAATCTACCCGGTGGACAAAATAAAAGGTTCAGTTCGAAATTCCAGTCACCATTCGGCTGAAATGTTTCTCTTCTTAGATAATACATCATCTCAGAATAGAAGTACTCAAATATGGCAATAAAGCCATATCTACCCTTGGCCGGCTTTAGTTTTGTATTAGGATCAGCAAATTTAATTGCATTTTTTATTTGACAGATGTGACTCTTATTAATTTATTTCGACATTGCCTCTCCTGAAAATAAGATCGCAAGGTGCACTGAAATGTAATTAAATGACACACATTCATACACGCACACACACACACACACGCCTTGTTGGTGTTAAAGAAGAACTATAAATTTGTACGGGAAATTTGAGCGACTTTTTACTGAGTAAAACATTGATTTGAAACTTCTTGCATACATCAGGTAATTGTTTATTTTGTTTGACTTGATAGAATGACGAATGTCCGAGATAGATCGGCCGAATAAAAATGAAGTTTGTTTTTCCTTAATATTCATTGAAACAGGAAGCTATCCACTTACTTCAAATAAGAGATGGTTGAAGCCGCGAAATTGGGAAACTTTTGTATCGAGATTGGCCTAATGTTCCATCCATCTCTGACCGGAAAAAAAAGTTAGATGTTGTATCATCTAAAACTATCCTGCAAGCAGTATTAAAAAGAATTAAAGAAGTCAAAAGAAGTACTAAACGTATTTCGTTTTTTTTTTTAATAGTAATTTAAAGTAAGAAGAAATTTTACTTACGTTTAAGAAATGGTCGATAACAAAGGTCGGTGCTTTGGGAATACAAATCTGAATTTCTGAATGCTTGTTGCAGGGACAAATGGCTTTCTGACAACGATCGTATTTCCGGCTCACTGGAAATAGATGCGAAATGACATGTTGAAAAACATGACGGAAAATTTAACCAATTACAGAAACGCATGATGTTACCACCCACAAATTGATACGATATGCTTTGCTATATTTAGATTTCCATGAAATGTTAATAATGCCAGGGTTTGTTCTCATGTTACGGTAAATGTTTGTCATTATGTTAATCATAATTTAGAGCAGTTTTAATAAGTTTAACTCTAAATTTACCACTTATTACATTACAAATTTTGATAATATTTTCTTCTTAAAAGCTAGAATTACTGTTTAATCTCGTGCTACAGTCAATGTTGGGGATAGTGTTAATTTTATCAAAATTTCGAGAATCCTTATTAAGTTTTCCGACAATTTTTCTTTAAATGTGACTTCTACGCAATATTTTTTTTTTTATAACATTTTTTATATTATTTGTTATTAGTTGATTGAATTGAAGTAATTATAGCATTTAATCATTTTCCTTTCTAGAATAATATGAAATTACATTTGTAAGTAATATAAATTCGTTTTCCTTGAGGTAGTCTGGAATACATTTACAGATTTTCTATTGTCTTTTTCACTGATACAGACACACACACACACACACACACACACACACACACACACACACACATATATATATATATATATATATATATATATATATATATATATATATATATATATACCGTGTCTAGATGTTTATCATCCAAATTTTTCCGTTATTAAGAGAAACGGACAAAGGATTTCCGTTAATGTAATTTTTTTAATCATTTAAAAAAATCCTTGAAAATGTTGGTTAAAAGACTTGTCTTTCTGTTGTCAAGCCCGAACTATAAATTTGTATGAGAAATTTTTCTCTGACCGGAAAAAAAGTCAGATGTTGTATTATCTAAAACTATCCTGTAAGCAGTATTAAAAAGAATTACAGAAGTCAAAGGAAGTACTAAACGTATTTCGTTTTTTTAATAGTAATTTAAAGTAAGAAGAAATTTTACTTACGTTTAAGAAATAGTCGATAACAAAGGTCGGCGCTTTGGGAATAAAAATCAGAAGTTCTGTAGGCTAGTTGCTGGGACAATTGTTTCTTGCACAATGATTGCTCTTGCTGCACACGGGAAATGAAGCAATGAAAAAACAAAAAAAACTTAGCCAATCAAAAAAGCAAACTCACAAAACGAGACGAAATCACAACCCACAAACCAAAGCGTATGCTTTGTTATATGTAGATATTTGTTATAATATTTTATTATATTATTTGTTATTAGTTCATTGAATTGAAATAATTATAACATTTAATCATTTTTCTTTCAAGAATAATATGAAATTACATTTGTAAGTAATATAAATTCGTTTTCCTTGTAGTCATGAATGCATTTACAGTTTCCCTATTGTCTTTTTCACTGATATATACATACGCGCGTGTGCGCGCGCGCACACACACACACATGCACACACACACATATATATATATATATATATATATATATATATATATATATATATATATATATATATATATATATATATATACCGTGTCTAGACGTTTATTATCAAAATCTTTCCGTTATTAAGAGAAACGAACAAAGGATTTTTGTTAATGTAAATTTTTAATCATTTTTAAAAAAACATGAAAATTTTGGTTAAATTTCTGGTCTTTCTGGTGTTAAAGCAGAACTATAAAATTGTACGGGAAATTTCAACGTCTTTTAACTGAGTAAAACACTAATTTGAAAATTATTGCAAACATCAGGTAATTGTTTATTTTTGTTTGATTTGATAGAATCACGAATGTCTGAGATTGCTCGACCGAATAAAAATGAAGTTTGTTTTTCTTTAATAGTCATTTTAACAAGTGTCTATCTAGTTATTTTAAATAAGAAATGGATGAAATCGCCAAATTGGGAAACGTTTGTTTTCAGATTGCCGTAATTTTCCATGCATCTAACACTAAGTTAAACGAACGTACGCACATGTTACATAAAACATTTAACTAGATTTATATTAAGATCTTCAAACGCTACAATTTCTTTGTAACGTGTTGAACTCCTTAGAGTATTTAACAAAAAAAAAATACTAAAAATTATTAAAAATAAATGAAGTTAAAAGAAGTAAAAACTAAACGTATATCGTAATTTAAACAAGAATAAAACATCAGTTTAAAAATGGCGGATGACAACACAGACATGCACGCACACACTAAGGTATATTATGGGACATTTTTTTAATTTAACGAATGTGTTGTTTATTAAGATTTCCATAAAATGTTAGAACCATATTGAAATGTGGAAGTCGAACAATCTATCACGGTGGACGAAATAAAAGGTTCAATTGAATTTAGGCGTTGTCTCTTAGAAAGGTGCATCATCATCATCATCATCATCATCATCATCATTATCATCATCAAAAGAATAGAAATTCCGCTTAATCATAGACATGGCTTTATATATTTGGGTATATGGAAACGCCACGTAGCAATTTTAACTAACTTAGCATCTTTATTGTATTTTTGATTTGACCGATGTAAATTTTATTAATTTATTTCGACATTGCTTCGCATGAAAATAGGATCTCAAGATGCACTGAAGTGTAATTAAATGGAAAAAAAAATATTCAGAAAAAAAAAAAAGAAATTTTGGTAACAGAGGTATTAATTAAACGTACTTCATTTTCCTTAAGAGTAAAAAAAACCCCAAAAAACAAGAAATATTACTTATGATTAATAATAAATAATTGATAACAACACACGCACACAAAATGATATGTCATGTTAAGAATCATATTTTAATTAAAGTAATACAAAAGAATTGTACTCACAAGTACAGCAAACACAATAAGAAGAAATTTATGAATTTAAAGAAGACAGGTCTTCTGTTTAAATGTTAGAATAGAGCCATTAAAGGGATTCCGGGTAGCCACTGCCTTAAAGAAATACAAACGAATTCTACTCACAAGTACAGTTCACACATTACGAAGAGATTTTATCAATTTAAAGAAGACAGGCATACAGTTGAAATTTTCCAATAAATATAATAAAGGCATTCCTGAAAGCCATTGACTTAAAGAAATAAAAAATAATTGTACACACAAGTAGAGCTAAAAAATATGAAAGCAGATTTATCAATTTAAAGAATACAAAAAATCTGTTGAAATGTTCCAATAGACTCATTGAAGGCATTCCTGGTAGCCCATACCTTAAAGAAATACAAAAGAATTATACTCACAAGCAGAGCGCACACATAACGATGAGATTTATGAATTTAAAGAATATAGAAATTCTGTTGAAACGTTCCAATAGACTCATTGAAGGCATTCCGGGTCGCCCATACCTTAAAAAAATAGAAGTGAATTATACTCACAAGCAGAGCTCAGACATTACGAAGAAATCTATCAGTTTAAATAATACAGAAATTCTGTTGAAATGTTCCAATAGACTAATTGAAAGCATTCCTGGTACCCCTTACCTTAAAGAAACACAAAAGTATTATACACACAAGCACACGTCACACATTACGAAGAGATTTATGAATTTAAAGAATATAGAAATTCTGTTGAAACTTTCCAATAGACTCATTGAAGGCATTCTTGGTCGCCGATACCTTAAAGAAATACAAAAGAATTATACACACAAGCATAGCTCACACATTTCGATGAGAATTATGAATTGAAAGAATATAGAAATTCTGTTGAAACTTACCAATAGACTCATAGAAAGCATTACTGGTCGCCCATACCTTAACGAAATACAAAAAAATTATACTCACAAGCATAGCTCACACATTACGATGAGAATTATGAATTTAAAGAATATAGAAATTCTGTTGAAAGTTTCCAATAGACTCATTGAAGGAATTCCTGGTCGCGCATACCTTAAAGAAATACAAAAGAATTATACTCACAAGCATAGAACACACATTACGATGAGAATTATGAATTCAAAGAAGAGAGAAATTCTGTTGAAACTATCAGTTGACTCATTGAAGGTATACCTGGTCGCCCATACCTTAAAGGAATACAAAAGAATTATACTCACAAGCATAGCTCACGTATTACGATAAGAATTATGAATTTAAAGAATATAGAAATTATGTTGAAACTTTCCAATAGACACATTGAAGGCATTCCTGGTCGCCCATACCTTAAAGAAATACAAAAGAATTATACTCACAAGCATAGCTCACATATTACGATGAGAATTATGAATATAAAGAATATAGAAATTCTGTTGAAACTTTCCAATAGACTCATTGAATGCATACCTGGTCGCACATACCTTAAAGAAATACAAAAGAATTATACTCACAAGCATAGCTCACACATTATGAAGAGATTTGTGAATTTAACGAATATAGAAATTCTGTTGAAACTTTCCAATAGACTCATTGAAGGCATACCTGGTCGCCCATACCTTAAAGAAATACAAAAGAATTATACACACAAGCATAGCTCACACATTACGATGACAATTATGAATTGAAAGAATATAGAAATTCTGTTGAAACTTACCAATAGACTCATAGAAAGCATTCCTGTCGCCCATACCTTAACGAAATACAAAAGAATTATACTCACAAGCAAAGCTCACACCTTACGATGAGAATTATGAATTTAAAGAATATAGAAATTCTGTTGAAAGTTTCCAATAGACTCATTCAAGGAATTCCTGGTCGCCCATACCTTAAAAAAATATGAGTGAATTATACTCACAAGCAGAGCTCACACATTAGGAGGACATCTATCAATTTAAATAATACAGAGATTCTGTTGAAATGTTCCAATAGACTCATTGAATGCATTCCTAGTAGCCTATACGTTAAAGAAATACAAAAGAATTATACTCAAAAGCGCAGCTCACACATTACGAAGGGATTTATCAATTTAAATAATACAGAAATTCTGTTGAAATGTTTCAATAGACTCATTGAAGGCATTCTTGGTAGCCCATACCTTAAAGAAATACAAAAGGATTATACTCACAAGCATGGCTCACACATTACGATAAGTATTATGAAATTAAAGAATATAGAAATTCACTTGAAACTTTCGAATAGACATATTGAAGGCATTCCTGGTCGCCCATACCTTAAAGAAATACAAAAGAATTATACTCACAAACAGAGCGCACATATTACGATGAGATTTATGAATTTAAAGAATATAGAAATTCCGTTGAAACTTTCCAATAAACTGATTGAAGGCATTTCTGGTCGCCCATACCTTAAAAAAATAGAAGTGAATTATACTCACAAGCAGAGCTCACACATTACGAAGACATCTATCAATTTAAATAATACAGAAATTCTGTTGAAATGTTCCAATAGACTAATTGAAGGTATTCCTTGTAGCCCATACCTAAAAGAAATAAAAAAGTATTATACTCACAAGCACACCTCACATATTACGATGAGATTTATGAATTTAAAGAATATAGAAATTCTGTTGAAACTTTCCAATAGACTCATTGAAGGCATTCCTGGTCGCCCATACCTTAAAGGAATACAAAAGAATTATACTCACAAACATAGCTCCCGTATTACGATAAGAATTATGAATTTAAAGTATATAGAAATTATGTTGAAACTTTCCAATAGACTCATTGAAGGTATTCCTTGTCGCCCATACCTTAAAGAAATTCAAAAGAATTATACGCACAAGCATAGCTCCAACATTACGATGAGAATTATGAATTTAAAGAATATAGAAATTCTGTTGAAACTTTCGAAGAGACTCATTGAAGGCACTCCTGGTCGCGCGTACCTTAAAGAAATACAAAAGAATTATACTCACAAGCATAGCTCACACATTACGATAAGAATTATGAATTTAAAGAATATAGAAATTCTGTTGAAACTTTCCAATAGACTCATTGAAGGCATTCCTGGTCGCGCATACCTTAAAGAAATACAAAAGAATTATACTCACAAGCATAGCTCACACATTACGATGAGAATTATGAATTAAAGAATATAGAAATTCTGATGAAACTTTCCATTACACTCATTGAAGGCATTCCTGGTCGCCCATACCTTAAAGAAATACAAAAGAATTATACTCATAAGCATAGCACATATATTACGATAGGAATTATGAATTGAAAGAATAGAGAAA